CGTGGCACACGCGAGAGGTGAGGCATGTTGCAAATACCGTGGAACGCAATATTCGCCTTACCGCCGCGCGACTAACGCAAATATTAAAACGTACTCCGGGGAAAAAAAAAAGACAGCAACCCATTTCGGGACCCACAATTAGTAATCGAATTAATTGAATTGTTCGTAATCTTTTACGAATTTTACCTCGCGTAACTACAAATTAGCTATTCCGTGTACATCCAAGATTTTTAAGTAATACTAATCAATTCTCTCAATTAGTTCTGTCGATATTCAGTAACGCAAAGATACTTTTCTTCTACGCACTAACCGAAATGTTAATAAACTTTCAAGTAAGACCCTCTATCTAAAACTAAACAATATATGAGAACATACCGAAATGTTAAGTTGCTCAACTACACAAAAACGGTCAACACTTTTCCCAGAGTAGAGTTACGAACACTCGAAATAATTCGATTGCCAATCGCGGGCCCCAAAATGGGTTGCTGTCTTTTTCTTTCCCCGAGTAACGAGCAACGTGTTAAATTTTCATATTTGTGCTACAACGTCGTTACGTTTTAGCTTCGACACCTCTGAATTGAAACCTCGTGTCATTTTTAAAACGTACTCTGGGGGAAAAAAAAGACAGCAACCCATTTCGGGACCCACAATTAGCAATCGAATTATTTGAATTGTTCGTAATCTTTTACGAATTTTACCCCGCGTAACTACAAATCGGAATTAGCTATTCCGCGTACATCCAAGATTTTAAAGCAATACTCATCAATTCTCTCAATTAGTTCTGTCGGTATTCAGTAACGCAAAGGTACTTTTCTTCTACGCACTAATCGAAACGTTAAGTTGCTCAACTACACAAAAACGGTCAAAATTTTTTCCAGAGTAGAGTTACGAACACTCCAAATAATTCGATTGCCAATCGCGGGCCACAAAATGGGTTGCTGTCTTTTTTTTCCCCAGAGTAACGAGCAACGTGTTAAATTTTCATATTTGTGCTGTAACGTCGTTACGTTTTAGCTTTGACACCTCCGAATTGAAACCTCGTGTCATTCATAACAGCATTGATTTCCGCCCGCACCCGTGGTAGAAAAAATTGTACGGCGTATACATAATAATTGCGAATCTCCAGAGAACGCAGCGTTAAGCGCAATTATGTAACGCTGACAAAGGCCCGAGCGTAAATCCCGGGCATTTCGAACGCAGTATGTTTTTCCAGCGTTATTCACCAGCGCCGAAGAGCAGGGTTACTTTGTTACTTTCTTACTTTCACGCGCGCCGTATCGGTAACAATGCCTTGCATTGTTAAATCGGACATGTTCACAATAGAGTCTCACGTGTCGCGCGGCTGCGTACAAATCTCATCTAGAGTTACTCGAAGGAACGCGGCCGATCGATGAGTAAAATCGAGCCACGCCGCGAACGGTCATTTCCGAACGGCACGCGGAGCGTACGCGAGGCTATACGCTCGAGAGCCGCGTATTTTTAACCGCTGTAATCGCGCGCGGAGAGAAAAATGCAGCCGCCGTAGCTAAAAATTGCACGTGGCGACCAAGTTTCAGTCGTAAAGTATGGACGGCCAATATTTCATCGAGACAACTATTTCGCTGCTGTGCCTATTGCATTAGGTGCGCTTTTATGTCGCGCTTTTATTTACAGTTATGGCGGCAACATATTTTTAGCAAACCGCAATTAGCCACGGCTGCAAATGTTTCTTTCAGTGCACGTGCGCGCGCGACTGTAGGCTGTCGCGACGCGGAGAGAATGGTCTCCCCGCACTTCGTTGAAAATCGCACCGTAATTCGCAATTAATAACTCGATTACGTCCTCGCCAATCGATGTACCTTCGACACAAAAAGAATTACACGCTCTCTTGCGCAGCACGCAGCCTTCTGTTTCCGGTCGATTGGAAATCGCTCCCCCCCCCCCGTCCCCTGTCCTCCCCCCGTACGAAACGATTCGAGATTTATCGGCCGCGGGCATCTCCAGGGACTTACGTAACTGCCGCGCCGCCGGGACTCTTGCGCGGATCTATACATGGGCGGCTCTCGATCTGTCAATGCACTCGCGGGCGGAAATTCGTCGCAGCGCGCCTAACAATTTGCATGTTCGATCAGCGTGCCGGACGATCCCGATCGGACAACGGGGCCGGCGAGACCCGATGTCGATCATCAGCCGGAAGTGGGAGGCGGCGGCCGCGATCGAGAAGATACGCGATGCTTCCTCCGAGAAAAGCAGAGAGACAAAGGGCCCCAATTGTTTTTCCCATTTTTGTAATTTTACTCTTTCCTACCCCTTTATTTTACTGTCAAGTATACATTTTCGAATTGGTGAGACACCCGCCTAGAGCGCAGGGAGGTCCAGGTTCAAAACCTGGCTGCGGTAACATTTCCCGCAATGAATTTCTTTAATTAGAATTTGCCGGCCAGGCGTCGTCTAGCAATTTTCTACATTGGTTAAATATATATTTTGTTGCGTGCCTGCATTCTCATTTGACTCGAATAGGCTTTTTATTTAGTGCCCAATTATTTTATATTAGTTTAATTACTTGTAACCGAAATTAGCAAGTCAATTTTCTTTAATCTAGCTTGGAAAAACGCCACGCGTCGTCAACTTCCGGCCGGGAGTTGGCGGTGATGCAACGATGACGCGTGTTACGATCGAACTCCGTGCGCTTTCGTAACTTTACGTGCGTATTACATTGCATTTTAACGTTAATATAAAATATAAATCTCCCCTCGTTAGCGACGAACGCGGCTCAAGTATCGCGCCTTCCTTTTTTTCTTCGTCGTAAAACGATTGACGTAACGTCGCGCACGGCTCATTTAACGGCTGCGAACTGTCCTCGTATAAATGTTTGCGCGTCGCTAATTCATAATATTAGCCGCGATGACGGGTCGGCGAGCTGTCGAGTTAACTCGCCAGCGCACAGGGCGTCGCGTGGAACGCTGGTCGCCCTCGAATAAACTCGCCGAGACGCGCGTGACGAACATCCTGCGGTACCAAATCGAGTCGCGGCCCAGGTACAGCGCGGCGTCGCCTATGCCTAGGCCGTCTGAAGTTGCACGCGGATTATCGAGATGCGTTTGAGAAGCGTGCGGCTTTCTAACTCTTCGTGCATCGCGACAATGAAGCCGGCAACGCTGATTCGCAGTTTCCACAGTCACGACGCACGAAGAGTCAGAAAGTCGCACGCTTCTCAAAAAATGCCTCGACCCGCGTGCAACTTCAGGAGGCCGGGCATTAGTGACACCGCCGTGTACAGTAGAAAAAAAAACTTGCGACTGTCGCAAGGTTCGCGAGTCCGATTGTAGACCGAGCCAAGATCAAATTCACGAATTTTACGTCAGTTGCAGAGCTTTTTTTGAACGCAGGCCATTGCGTCGACAATAATAATCATAACAAAACAGGTGCAAGAAGATGCAATAAAAAGTACAATTAAAATACAATTACGGCGCGTGTAATCAACGGTTTCCTCGCGAGAGGCGCGTGAGACACTTGGATCGAAATCGACTCTACGAAAAACTGGAAAGTATAAAAAAAAAGAGAAGAAAAACTGGCGGACTTGCCAAGCGCGAAACTAACGATCTCCGTCTTCCAAGCCAGCGGACTTCCGTGGAATCTCGGACCGTTGTGGGCGATTCCAAGCGTGACGATCGCGAGCGCTGCAGGACTCGTCGTCGCGCGTGCCTTGTCGCGTACAAGCCGCGTCATTTCGTTTCTCAGAATCTCGCTCGCCGCTCGCGACCGACGCCCCGAGTCCAGTCGCCGCGCGATGACACGAGAGGAGTCGCGGAAGACGCCGTCATCGCGCCATCGATCGCCGAGGAACAGCGGCGAGTCGCGATCGCCCGCGGATCCGGCGCCGAGGCAGATCGGGCGTTTCCTGCCTCGGTTCGTTACGCAATTCAGCCGGATTTTCGCGATTTGCCTTATCGCAGGCGAAGAGAATGACGTCGGATCTCATTGTTAAGACCTCGCCGCCGCGCGGCCTGGAACTGTCAATGTGTTCTATGAATTTCCCGGTTTTATCTTGGCACGTATTTTCCTCGCGAGTACACGACGGCAATTCTAGTCTGAATCCTCGCATCGAGAAAACGCGAACGTGTCGAGGACAGATTTGCAGGGGGGGGGGGAAGAACGTTCCTCGATTATACTCGGACGAGAATGAATCCGAGCGGCCGACGTTCGCGCCTTATCGATTGTCATCGTTATCCTATTACGTAAACGCCTTCCTTCATTCCCGAAATCTCATCTCGACTCGAGCGGTCGCTGCAGAAGCGGCAACTTCAAGCGCATCGATCTCGGCGCTTGACAAAGGGAATCTCACGACGAGTCCTCTCTCTCTCTCGAGGGTAAACGAGCTCGTCGAAAATCGGGGGGTAACGGCGTTCGGTCGGTACAAACAAAAGATCGCGACCGGGCGGTCGCGCTCTTCGACGCCACGTCGCGTCGGGAGGGAGAGGGGAAAAAAAAAGACAACGACGATCGCACGCGTTTCCAGGTAAACGGGCGATCATCGCGCATCGGGTGTCGGCGTCGGGTTTCGATTTCCGCTGTCGGGGATCGGCGATCCTAACCTCGGTAATCCAGAAGGACGCGTCCGCACGACACGGCGGGGAGAGCGACCGCCGGACGGAACGCGCCGGCGAAACCGGTATTGGCGCGGGGCGAAACCACCGCTTTTCTTCGCAGAAGGGAGAGGGGAAGGGAGAGAAAGAGGGACGCTACGATCCCAGAGGCCCCGACGATTCGGGGGCCCCGAGTCGCGCGGCGCCTCGACCGGTGCGGTAAAGCGAGGATACAAAACGGGGCAGCCCGCGGTTCCTCCGGTGGGGAAACCGCCGGGCGGTAAGAGAATCCCGACCGGCCGGCGTCGGGTCCGCGGATCGCGATCGCGCGCGGGTGGTCCCCTCCCCCAGGATTCCGGATCGGCGTGACGTAACGGCGATCGCTCTCGGTAAATATTCCCCTCCCCCCCTTCCTCAACCCCGCGAGAGACTCACCTGGTGATGTACGAGCGACTGCGAGATGCGACGGCGACGACGAGAGATCGGCAGGCGATCGGGTGGCGCACCTTGGCGGATCCGCGGGCGGCGACGCGTACGTGGCACGGGTCGGAAACGAAGTGGCGCGGCACGGCGCGCCACGGAATCCGCTCGCCGCCGCGAGTGCCTCTCCTCCCGGCTCGGCCAATCGCGACGCCCCGCGCGCGCTTGCCCCCCACCCCTCTCCCCACCCGCGCTACCCTCGTCCGCGCGCGTCCAGTTCCGCCGTTCCGCTATTTCCGCGGTGAAAAGTTTTCGGTTGCTACCTGGGTCTCTCTCTCCCCTACCGGGGTCGCAGCTGCGGCGGAGCCGCGCTCGCGGCTCGCGGGAGCAAATGGAATTGCTTCGGCGAATCGTTTCTTCGACCCTTTTCGCTTAATCTTAAGTCCCTCTTTCATTCTCTCTCTCTCTCTCTCTCATTTTCTCTCGCCCCGATCTTTTCTTTCTCGCAGTGTACAGTTTTCAGGCTCAAAGTGAAATTTAATCCACGTGATGGGTGAACGAGGGAGGAGGAGGAGCAGGGAAGAAAGAGGAGAGATGAAACGGAGGGAGAGTACAAGGTGTGGAGAAAAGGCAGAAAAAGCACGGACGAACGTCTGCCGAAGAGCAGATATTTTTAGAGTGGATACAGCGGGGGTGCGAATGTCGTTCCGCACATTCGCCGTGTAGAAATTAAGGGGCGTTTGTTAAAGAAAATTGTCAGCGTATTCGTCGAACGTGCTAATAGGACTTTGAGGATTTATCGCGCGCGCGCACGTATAGAGCTGTGTTGTTTAGAATTTGGAATAAAACGAATGTGTTGATATGTAAAATCGCAGTAAGAAGAAAACGGCCGACGCTAATTAACGAATCCGACTTGGCGGGAAAGTTGGATTTAATTTCACCCCAGATAATATCGAAGCGTTTATAAATACGGCGTAGAAATGTTCTCTCGTGGAAGTGCATTTGATAAAATGTCCGTGGAATACCGTGCGCTAGGAACTTCTAACTCTCAGTGCACATTTTAAAACACACATGTCAATAACACGTTGAAAAGATCGTTTGTTGTTTTTTTTATCGCTGATCGAGAGATAAATCGCCCCGACACTCTTCGGCACGAATCAAGGCCAAGGTCTGGCCCCGCGATCACGTTGGTCGACGGCTATTGAGTTTACGAGGTCCGTCCCATTTGGATGCGCCAGCTTAACTCTTTGATTGCGTGGCCTTGGCGAGTTGCATCCGTTTTCAGGCATTTCTTCATAGACGCGAATTAAATGCACTTTCTTTAAGAATTAAGACTATTTGCCATTTTAATCGACTACTACTCACTATCGTTTCGCCGAAGAAATGCTTTTATCTATGGGGAGCTCTATTGAAGAAGTATCCCGTGCAATTAATTAATCCTCGAACTGAGCGTCGTCTTCGATGCGTTGCGATTTGTGCCACGTAAATCTGGTATAATCTCAAAAGTATGCATTTCCATTTTCTTTGACGATTCAGAGATCGTACATTTGATTTTCGCGCGAGATACATGATTTCCGCGCGAAAAATAACAATGTTGTATCAACAAGATCAGTGCAGTTGAAATAAAATCGTTGAAGCAACGTCAATATTAATTGAACGAGAAACATCAGACAGTTGTCTTAGTAATCTGAATATTTAGCTCAATGCTTAAAATTAAAATCCATTGCAAATACAATTGAACAAATTATTTACGTTTGTGGCAGCCCGTGAAGCTAAATTCAAGCAACTTCATTTTTTTAAATTCAACCGCATTTTTTTTCGCCGTGCGAATCTACGAACAGAGTCTCGCAATTTTGTCAGGGGGCTTCTCGCGGACATTTTAAAATTTAAACTCGCCCGTCGAGGCGAGGACGCCGAGTTCGCCGCTGAAACATTGTCGATTCCAGCCCAGTTCTTCGCGATCCGCCCCTTCACTCACCGATCCCTCCACGATTCCCGCCGCGCCAATTTAATCCGCCGCGCGAAACGCCTCGGCGACGCCGATTTGAATCGGCCCGACGCGATCCCGCGGTTTCGCGTTCCGTCGTTCCGATATCGTCGGGATATATGGGTCACCCGGTGGTTTCCGGGGAACGGCGGGATTTCGTGGGGGAGAGGGGGCCGATGGAAGTGCTGTTACGAAATCAGCTGTGCGTCCGCTCGGGTTGCTCTAGGTCGCGCCAGCCAGGACCCCCGTTTCCACCCCCCCCCGTCACCCCCCGCGGAACAGCGGTGGGGAGACTAAAGGTCGCTCGTGGGTAGATCAATACTAAACTACTACCCACATACCTACCTACCTACCCTTCTCCCTATCGCGCGCTAATAAGAATATCCAGAGTGGATTAAAATTCTCTCCCATCATCGGGAACCGTTTCGCCACGTGTATCAGCCCCATGATTATTCTCATGTGTGCGGTAATCGTTTCATCGACGGGCCACTTGCGGCGAACCCTTAACGCGGGATATATCTCTCCCTTCTCTGAGGTGGATCCTCCCTCGGGGCGAATTTAATAATAATTAAGGGAGTTTTCGCAAAAATAGAACTGCGGAAAAAATGGAACTCCGTCCCCTAATTGATTCCACGTGGATTTCGCTTCGACGCGACTTTAATTGTGGACTTAATTACCCCAAGATATTTAATGTAACAAGTTAAATTGAGGCAGAATTGGTGCACTGATAGAAACAAATGTCTTAATTTAGTTGAGTGTAGAAAATGCAATGATTTAAATTGACTTACTAATTAATATAATACACATATTTACTTGAAATTTGATATTTTTATTTAAATAGAATAAATATTTACTTCAGCAACAAAAAATAATTTCAAGTAAAGTCTAGTTTAAAAAAAGCTCTTGTCAGTGCAGAGAAAATAATTAAGAGGCGACTCAACGCGAATTTCCTTTCGATGCGCGTATTTGGGCGCTTGTAATTATTAAAATATTCTACGTAGAAAATTAAAGGTGATCGTCAAATTAAGGTCGCAGCTGCAAATGAATAATTGTCGGTAGAATATTGATGTGAATATTGATTTCAGCTATGATCTTCTGCGTCTTAATTGGCGAGTTAATTTTTGCAAGTCGCAATTACAGCGGGATTTGCGGAAACCCGTCTTACTCCGTGTATCGCGTTCATTCACCGCATTCCACGGTATACGATTTCCTTGAGGACCTACCTACGGGGAGCGTAGTAAATATTTGCTTTTCGAAAGCGCTCGCACTCAGCGGCGCGATATCGACGCGTCTATTTCTATTTTCGAAAAACAAGATGATAAATCGCATTCGAGTTGGATCAGCCGGACAATGTGCTTGCGACATTTCAACGAGACATCCGGATCGCATTTCATGTATACACGCGCGTATGCATACAATAGAAAATTCAATAAGAGTAAAGATATTTTAAAAATTATTGAAATAAACATAACATGAAATATAGACAGAGATATTAATTTCCAGCTCTGACACGGCTCAAACTGAAAGAGAGAAGGAGGAAGGGAGAAGGGGAGGGAGACCACTGTCAATGCTAAGCTCGTTACGTAACACTCGCTAACGTACGTTGGACCAAGTATACTCGTTTTCCGCGGAAATAAACCGGGCCGAGCCAAGAACGCGCTGGCACCTTGAAAAGACCGCACGGTTCACAACGGTTTCTTGAAATTAAACGAGATTACGTACCACTCGTGCGGAATGGCGCTACGTATGTCTATAATTTTTGTTACTCGCGCGAGAGTGAGAATCACTGCCCTGGGCCTCTCGGAGAACGGCCTCGGCATCCGGTCGTCGAGACTGATCGCCTTCGCACAGTCCCCGCCCAGGAAATATTGCAATTCGACGCGCAAGGCTGTCCTTATTAGACCCGCACACGCGGTTCATCCATTGTTTAGACTGTTTAGGGGGTCGCTAATCTGCTTTCACAGTCAATATAGTTATCGAAAATGGGACGGGGTTTTGGACGAGTGTATCCATAATTTCCGAGACTCAGTCTGAAAACAGCCTCGAGTAAACCTCATGACTTATCAACGTAACGTGTCCCAAATTCTCAAATACACGTAATTTGAAATTCCCGTCTCTCTTCTAGAAATTCACCGATCTCCATTAGCCGCGAATCTAAACGACTGTGTGACAAACGATCGCGTGGTACACAAAATATCGCCAGCGCGGAAAGAATTGATCGCGGACCTGCCACGGTCGGCGTATCTGCTATTTTCAGCGGCACGTGACGAACGAAACGAAACGGACAGTGAAGTTGTGACAGTGAAGCTACCGCGACCGTGACCTCGTAACGCGTCCGCGAAATGAGAGGGAAATCAGAAGGGGGGTCTATCCGCCAGGTACTTCGCCAAGAGACACCGCGCCAAGCACCACCCCGAAAACGATTCTACCTGTGTCGGTTGACGTTATGTCATAAGCGTGGGTGACGAGACGAAACTTCAGGACCGGAGCCAATGGCCGGTAGGCGTTCGTTTGTGACGATCCGTCTCTGCCAAGCGCACAATTCTCCCCACTTCCTCCCTGCTCATTCCCGCTCGCATACGACGAACTCGATCAGAACTTCCCATACAGCGCAGCAAGGTTTCAGCAGCATTGCGGCAATAATTTATCGCAAGATTGCAACATTGCCTCAACGCTGCTGCAATCTTGCAGCAACGGTATAAAATGTCCGCCTCCAGAAGTATTACAATGTAATATTACAGCAACATAGCAATATAATGCATGCATAATGTACGCTTTCTCGAAGCGCGGTGTGCTTCACTTCTCTTTTAAATTCATAGTAAATGAAGATTTGCAATTTAGAAATTTGTATACACCAACTATTGAGGTAAAATCTCTAATCTTAGTAGTTAGAATTTAAATAACAATGATTTTTGTTCCGATACACTTTCTCGATTGAACAGAATTAATCGTTTATTTAATCGGTACCAATAAAATACTATTGTCTATTCCATATTCCATTGTGCATCGATGCACGGTTTCTGGTATGTTGGAATTTAGTTATTTCTGTTGCCTGTGTTATTCCCCCTATTCCTATTGTCTGTGCTTTCCTATTGTGCGACAGGCTTGAGTCAGTTGTCATCTGATTGCCGATCAACCTTGATCGCGGTCTGATTTCGTTCTCCTTCGGTTAATCGGCTGTGCCACCACGCCAGGGAGCCGAGGAAGTTCGGG